CTCTCTCTGCCAGCGTGTGTGTGTGTAAGTTTGTTTGTGTCTTAGTTTAATTTTAGTAGAGGTTTCACGGCGCTCGCAACTGCATAAGGTCATATGAGCGCAAATGAGTAACAACAACAACAACCACAACACCTCCACCACCACCACCAACAACAACCCCTAACCTCTGCCCTTCATAGCGGCCAGGATGTCAGTCGTCAGTTTGTCCAGCTGGTCTAGCGTTGCCCGAATGACTGCGCGGCGCGGCAAGTCGCTACACGTCTGCACCACGGCCAACGACTTCTGCTTCACCTGCCGGCTGGTGGCCAGGAAGAGGCGGCAAAGTCTGTCCCTCTCCGTCTGTTCACGGTCCCGACTCGTCTCGTCTGAGAGAATTGGTTTGTACAACAGTTTTTAGGAGGAGTTTTACGGCACTTGCAACACAATAAGGTTATATAAATGCCAAAGTTTTAGTTTTAGTGAAAGTTTTACGGCATTTGCAGCACAATAAGGTCATATACATGCCCAAAGTTTTAGTTTTAGTGTTTAGTGAAAGTTTTACGGCACTTGCAACACAATAAGGTCATATAAGTGCTGAAGATTAGAGGTGTTACAAGAGAGTAACAAACACAAAAAATGGCACTCATATGACCTTATGCAGTTGTGAGCGGCATAAAACCTTACTAAAAAAAAAAAATCACACACAAAAAAGCAGGAGGGGAGATAAAGACGATAGATGTTCGATAGGAAAGAACGAGCAATCCACACGAGAGCACCCGCCAACCACCAACAGGAATTAATTGTTTTAGTTGTAGTTTTTGTCAACGTTTTACGGCATTTGTGCACCACAAATATGTCACAGAAATGCAAAAGTTTTCGTTTTAGTGAAAGTTTTACGGCACTCGCTTCATAAATAAGCCATATAATAAGTGCCAAAGTTTTAGTTTTAGTAAGTGTTTTACGGCACATGCAACACAATAAGGTCATATAAGTGCCGAAGATTAGAGGTGTTACAAGAGAGTGACAAACACAAAGAAGGAAGAGAGATAAAGACGATAGATGTTTGATAGGAAAGAAGGAGCAAACCACACCAGAGCACCCGCCAACCACCTACGCCTCCTATAATTTATATTGTGTCGACAGGGGCCTAAAAACACCTGCATTTAATTTATTTTTAACTTTTAAAGAAAAATAAATAAATCGAGAGCCATGGTGGGTACCTGAGTCTTGCGTCAACTCTCTCATCGCTTCCATCAACTGTCGCAACGGGGCTCCGAACTCTCGGCTCTTGTCACGAACCATGTCCCGCACCTCCACCGCCTGGGGACACATACAGACATCTTTATTTTTAGACATGTGTCAGTCCCGACATGGTGGAATCAGGTGTTCGTCAGTTTTTGGGCATGTGGGGTTATTGGTATCATCTGAAAGCTGATTTATTTGCCTTGCTTCTAATGAAATAAATATAGATCTATCTTGAATAGAGCTCAAGATATTTGCGATTCAAGGAAGTGAGATCGCCCGGTTTCAGTGGTGAAATTAGCGGGAAAATGGCCGGCAAAGTTTGATAACTTCAATAGCTAAAGAGTCATTGAAAACAGAAAAATGACATAATTTGTGCCTTTAATCAATGTTTTTCAGTAAAACTAACATGGAAATGTGTTTATAGACATGAAAGAGGTTGAGCCAAAAAATAAAAATTAGAGAAAAATGAATGAAACGGTTATGGAAGGAGACCAACCATTTGTTTTTCAGACAAATATTCAACAGTTTTCCCGTTTTTCTATCTCCCATTTCTGCGAACCAGTTCCCACCTTCTCCATCCATCGACTGCGAGCCAGCCCGATCCTCAGTCGGCAGAAGAGAGGGTACTGGGGCACGTCCGTCAGCATGACTGGTTGCCTAGCAACCGCCGTAACATCATCCAAAGCTGCGTTCAGCTCTGAGACCAGCTTCTCGCTACCAGTCCGCAGGGCGTCGTCTCTTCAAAGGAATAAAAGAAGGAATGAATGAAGGAATTAATGAATGTAGAAGAAAGAAGAGGAGAAGAAGGAGAAGAAGAAAAAGAAGAAGAAGAAGAAAAAGAAGAAGAAGAAGAAGAAAAAGAAGAAGAAGGAAGAAGGAGAAGGAGAAGGAGAAGGAGAAGGAGAAGGAGAAGGAGAAGGAGAAGAAGAAGAAGAAGAAGAAGAAGAAGACAAACTGCCACCACCACCACAACAACAGCAACAACAACACACACACACTCACCCACACACCGCACAATCCACACACCGCACAATCCACACACACACTCACCCACACACCGCACAATCCACACACACACTCACCCACACACCGCACAATCCACACACCGCACAATCCACACACACACTCACCCACACACCACACAATCCCCACATACTCACCCACACACCACACAATCCATACACACTCACCCACACACCACACAATCCCCACACACTCACCCACACACCACAGAATCCCCACACACTCACCCACACACCACACAACCCACAAACACTCACCCACACACCACACAATCCCCACACACTCACCCACACACCACACAATCCACACACACTCACCCACACACCACACACTCACCCACACACCACACAATCCCCACACACTCACCCACACACCACACACACTCACCCACACACCACACAATCCACACACACTCACCCACACACCACACAATCCTCACACACTCACCCACACACCATACAATCCACACTCACCCACACACACACCACACAATCCCCACACACTCACCCACACACTGCACAATCCCCACACACTCACCCACACACCACACAATCCACCAGCTCCAACAGTGAGTTTGTCTCAGCTTGCAGTGTATCGGCCAGGCGCGACTCCTTCATCGCAGCTTTATCGCGTAGCCGCTGAAACGTCTCTCGTCCCAGGGCCTCCATCGTGTCAGAGATGAGGTCAAGGTCGGCCACCACACAGGTCATGGCCACCGCCCAGTCTCGGCTCACCTGCACTAGCTGCCAGCGGTCACTGGGCGTGCGTGTGGCTGAGGGAACAACAATTGTGAGAGTGTTTGTCCACTCCTCTCCACACCAGTTACACCATTGTACGTGGCTTTAGTTGAGTTTTAGTACAAGGTTTTGCGGCACTCGCAACTGCATAAGGTCATATGAGCGCCAGAAGATTAGAGGTGTTACAAGAGAGTAGCAAACATAAAAAA